AAGTTATTGGCCTCGGATTATTAATGTGACTTTTCTTGGTTTTGGGTAATAATGTAAAGACTCCTTGTTTCATAGTTGGCATTAAATTATCATTATTAATACATTTTTAAAGCTTTGAATAATAATGTGTTAAATGCTTTCCAAAAAAGGATAATGAAGCCGTGATGAGAACTGGCTTAGATCATAGGGAGAGCTCTCTGATTTCTCTGCTTGGGATCATGAGGAGACTCAAAAGTTGAGGAATTCTGAAAATTATATTAGAGCTTGTTGGGATCTTTTCTGAAACTTGGAAGGAGACTAAATCAAACTTTAATACATCTTATTGCTCCACAGAAAAAACTGAGACACAGGAGAAATACACTTTTTCTCATTTTGGTGTCACACATATCTCAAAATTGGCTAGAAGTACATGACACATTTTGGAGATCTCATTTCAGATTTTCTTTCCTTCTTTTTATTTGTACTTATAAAAGATTGATCACAGAAATCATTGCTTACTCTTTATTTGGAAATCTGCAGAAAAGTTCAAACTGACCTTAAAACTTATATTTGTTTAAATAGTGGACAGGTCTTTGATAAAATAGCAAATGACCTAAACAGGGTCAAAGTATTTATTGTAGACTTTTAGTTTAATATTTTACTTTTTGTAACAGCAAAGCTCTACCTGAATAAGATTTTTATACATGAAATACTGAAATGCAGGTAATCAGGTAATACAGGTCACGTGCTTTAGAAAGAGGAGGGATTACTTTATAATTAATTTTTTTTTTTTTTACAGACAACCTTGTTTATTTAGGTGAATTTTGTCTTTAATTATTGTTTGACAGTTGGATTTTTTATTAAATGGTAGTGAAAGATTTCATAGGAGAAAAGTAATTTAAAAATTTGATGCGGAGCGAATACATTTCCCAGCACTTTATTATACTGTAAAGTCCTGTGAGGTTTTAGTAGCCTCAAAGGATCTTGGGTCATTTTAGGACAAGAAAAACACATGGTCATGTTGTCCTGTTGTTGTTTTTTTCCTTCTTCTTTTTTTAATAAGGGTTGTTTGAATTGGCATCTCTGTTCATGCTAAGCTAACATTATGTTGTAACTGTTGCAGAGGTGAATAGTTAAAGTTGGAGCCATGTTCTGGAGCCTGTTCCATCACAGTTAAACCTGCATCCTGACATGGGGAAACAGTTAGTAAGAGACTTCAAGTTACATGAACAGAATAATGTTTGCTCTAATGCAGGACTTGTCATATAATCATGTTGTCCTTTCATTAATGAGCAGTTTTGCTGTTTGTGCTCTTCTTCTTTTTCTATTTCTTAAAAAAGATTGGTCTCAAGCAGCAGGACTGGTGAAAAACTGATGTCTTCATTTTAAAATCTGAGAAATAGGGAAGTACAACAAGAAGAAAAGCTGCCTTTAACTTTCACTTTGATTGTTTTTTCGACAAAGTAAACTTGTTTAGTTGTTTTCCCAGGTTATCTCTGCTCCACTGACGAGCTTTTCAATCATGTAATAATGCCTTTTTGTCTTCTCAGAATCCAGCTCCCTCTGCCACTGACTGAGAACTATTTTCTTAAAACTTCTAACTACCTACTGATTTTACCATTTCAATGCTTCTTTAGCAAAGAAGTCAATGCAATCATTATTTATTACCCCAACAGTAGAGGGAACCCATAAAAATATCTCCCCTCTTCACCCTAGAAATGGTGAAAAGAATCTCATTGATTATTTTTGGATAAATTTGGGACCGATATGCAGGGACAACAGAACAGAGGCTGAGTCAAACCTGTCACACCTGCTCCTCTGCTTTGACCCAAACACCTGGGAGTCATCAGCAGCTGCAGCCATTTAAGTACGGATCCACCAACTGCACAGCGTCAGACTTTTGCCTTACCCCGGTGGTAACACATTCAGGCCATTTGCTTAGTCCGAACTAGTCTGGCAAAATCTAACCTGCTTGTTTTCTTTCTATGTTAGTCCAGTTATTCTGCCTGCCAGAAGCTGTTCCCCAACCTTGGATTCCCTGGCTTAGAACATCTGCTTGTCTTACCTTGATTACTTGATTGGTCCCAACTATTGTGCTCTGGTCCAACCTCTCTGTTAATCCTGGAAAAAAAAAACAAATAAACCCAACTGCTCAGTAGTGGTGTCAAGCGTGACAAGAACAGATGACCACAACTCCCTGGCTTTACATCACACACCCACTTTAAAAGCCCATAGAATCACTAAAATCTTAGACATAAAAGCAGCTGTTCCATCAGTAAGCCATCTGCCCTGCCTCAGAAACGTCACTGAGATTAAACCACCAAATGCAGGTCTCTGACCCACTGGGTCAAAAGATCTATTAGTAAAAATCTTTAAATGACAAGTTGGAATGTAATTTATCTTACCATTACCTCAGCCTGTCCATTTACCTTTCTTTGTATCTACCTTCTTTACTGACCATTCCACCTCTATATTTGGGAGTACCCATATTGGATCTGATGGCCGGACAGTCACAGGAGCTACCTTTTTATGGACAAACTCTGGAACCTCAATCTCACTTCCATTTTAAAATGTCTTCCTTCTCTCACCCTTGACTATCAGCTCCTCTCTATCAGCCTCCTCAGCATGCCCCTCCCCTTCACCAAGACATGTCCCAACTAACTGAGGGAATGTCTTCTGTGAGTCAACGAGAAAAGATGGTACAGAAAAAGTACAGATTGCCCCAAAACACATTTTTTAAAGCTTCAGCCTAATTTGATTACAGCCTTACTATGTCAAATTTAGCATGATTAGTTCTGTCTGCATTACCATGCACAAGACAACTATAATCTAAACAACAACGAATCATTTATTGATAAAGCATTAACATGGTCGTCCAAAAACTCCTGAAATACATCACAAAATAATAATGACCTTGTTGCATTTATCCGCCACTTTACTAATGCACTCTGTCATTCTCTCATCAAAGTATGCCCCCAAATATTTGAATGACACAACCTTCTCCATGCTTTTATCATATAACCAATCCTAGATCCCTTACTTTTCTCTTATTTCCAAGGAAAACATATGCAGATGTATCCACTGCAATTGTAAAAAGCCTCTTTCAAGCCCAATCTAAAATTTCATTCAATGCATTTTGTTCTTCCCTAAATATAAACTCAGTATTCCTTCCTCTCTTTCACACTGCACCATCATCAGCAAAAAGAAAGATAACTTAATCTTGAATCATAACCTTTTCAATGTCAAGACATTGTAATAGAGCAATGACGAGATAAAGTGCTTTCTTTAACATCCAAATTTTGTTTGAGGAAGTCACAACATGATCTGTCATGAGGCAGGATCACTAACAAACATTACCAACCCCATATTCATCATGGTCGCCATAATAAATGTAATTACGGTACTGAAATAAGTTATTTCTATCTTTTAATCATCAAACAAGGCTAAATTATATCATATAAAAGCTGACAATTTTGATAGCATTTGATATATTTTACATTCTGTTATATTTCTTGTCATCATCTGACATGCTCAGAGCAGTCCAGCAACATATAATTGCTCTGTGTTTAACTACATTTCAGACTTAGAGACTTAGAAAAACGTTATTGTCATTTTGTATACACAGCGTATATACAAAACGAAATTTCATTTTGTACAGCTCTCCTGACATTTCTATTTCTTAAAGTGCAGCAGTTATCCAATGTAGACATTGTCTTTCTTTAGATCAGGGGTACTCAAGTCTAATCCTCAAGAGCTACCATCCTGTAACTTTTAGGACCCTGTCAAACATTGCTGATTTAGCCAGCGTATGCCCGACGTCCCAGAATCTTCCGTAACGCTTGCATACGCTGAACTTTCTATGTAATTTTTCAGTTTTGGGCGTATACATAGAATATTCATAACGATTTCAGATTTTATGTCCAACGACAGCCTAACTTTAGTCATCAGTTAAAGCTGCTCCCCTCAGGTGCCCAGAGCTGCCCGTCTGCATAAAAAGATGTCTTTGATGGGCAGCATTAAAGAACGTAAGAAGGTTTGCAGTCGCAGCAGATTCAGCAACATGTCTGCTAGGAAGTTTGCTGGTCGTACGCAGGGCAGATCCATTACATTCACCTTCATGCTCACCCTATGATGGAGATGAAGTCTGGAGAAGTTAATCATAGGTTTTGAATAAGCTGGACGCCACGACTTATGAGTAACTTACACTTAACATTTGTCAATGATCAGATAACTTACCTGTAACTTATACCCCACGTATGGCATAATTATGGCGTACTTGCCGTATGTTGACGTGTAGCAACATACTTCAGCATCCTCATAACTTATACAAAACCTACCCATAACGTTTTTGCCAGATTTTCCGTATGTCAGGCATACTGGTCTAAATCGTCAAGATGTGACAGAGGCTTTAGGTACACCTCTCCTCTAACACACCTGAGTCTAAAGTCTCAATCCCCTGCTTTAGCTCAGCAGAAGCATAGTAACAAGCCTCTCATTTGATTCAGGTGTGTTAAAAACGGTGCATCAAAAAGTTGCAGGAGAGTAGCTAATGAGTGCTGGACTTGAGTACCCCTGTTCTAGATTATTCATTATATTTTATAAAAGTGCCACAAAATGCAAACATAAAAATAATTTAAAAATACAATAGCCAGAAGTAGGTCAGGTGTTGCGGGACAGAGCGATACAGATTAGAGCTGTAACAAAAAGGAAGTAAATGTTGGAAGCCGCTCAAAGATAGTGGCATACTGTAAGTAGATTAAAATATGTTTATTGTAGCCCTTAAAGTTAAACGTTGTGTGCATTTCGCAACATGAAATATCTTCGAAGATAACGAATTACAACCTAAAACCAAAAAGCATTTGTATCTCAGCTGGGTGAGCTTCTATATGATCGTGAGTGAATGAATCACAATTACTAATCAAAATTAAGTTACCTGGATGAAGGAGATGTGAATGAGGAAGTTGAAAAAAAATTTTCAGAAAGAAAAATCTATTAAGCTGGATAACATACCAACAAAGCTTTTAACCCTGAGAAGACAAAAAGAGACAAATCACCCAAGGACAAAATAGACTCAATCTGGAAAGCAGTGTTTGTGCTAATGGCTAAAATGGTTTGGCAGACTGAGTATTTAGATACTAAAACAGATCTCCAGAGAGAGTTATAGATGAAGATTGCAGCAAATAGAGAAAAGAACAAACAAACAATAACAAACAAGATGTTGGTGATCTACAAAAGAAGGTGGAACTCTTGGTGGAAATATGTGCCTGAATGATGTCAAAGAATTTGTTTGTAGGAAGATATATATATATATATATATATATATATATATATATATATATATATATATATATATATATATTTCAACTACACTGAAATAAGTGACTTTTTGGTGCAGTAAACTCTATTAGAGTATTTACAGAAATACTACATAAACTTTACTCTGAAATGTAACATTTTGAAATGCATACACAGCGCATGCGCACTGTAGCTCACAGAAGGACTGATTCTGTGGTGTATATGAAATACTGTGTATTTGTTGCTTACAAATCATACCAACCTTATCTTTTTTTTCAGTACAAATTCTAATGCAGTACAACATAATGCACTTTTACTATTAATGCTATATTTGTACATGCTTTTTTTCATTAAAATAGAGGCTCTTTACACCACTGCTCAAAGATTAAGTGGCTGTTTGTGTTCTGACCCTCACCCAGAAGTTGTTTTGAGCATGTTTGTGTAAGTTAAATATTCTTGACCTTACATATGAGTATATTTCTGTAACGAAACTCTCAGTTTCAGAGGGTTGTACATTTTTTATTGCATATTTGAAAAGCACGAAGCTAGTTAGAGGGCTGCCCAGTGGGTCAATGGGTAGCCCTGCTGCCTTGCAGCAAAAGGTCCGATTCCTGGGTGTTTCTTCATGGAGTATGCATGTTCTCCCTGTGCTGTGTTCTCCCTGTGTGTGTAGCAGTGGGTAGCTTTCAGAGATGGGAAGTAATGAAGTACAAATACTTCGTTACTGTACTCAAGTAGATTTTTCTGATATTTTTACTTTACTTTACTACTTATTTTTATT